TATATATATATATATATACTATAACCCAAATTCTGGATGCCGAAAATCTAAAAGTACAATCAATGCAAAAGTCATGGGTTCAATTCTCAATTACTGATTAAATACATACATTACAATGTTGTGAATCTTTTTTAAATGCATACTATGAATTTTATATACAATAACTAATCAATTTAAAAATACAGTATGGATCATTTTACCTTGAATAACGTAAAAAGGAAAGTGACTCTAATTTGTATACTGGCTGTCAGACACTTCTCAATATGTGAAGAGCGATGCAAACACAAATCTGCAAACTGATCTTCACCAATAAAGAGATAAAAGCACCTTTGTCTTTCTGATACAAAAGGAAACACAAACGGCCCTCTTATCTGCCAAACAACAGTGTGTGTGTGTGTGTGTGTGTGTGTGTGTGTGTGTGTGTGTGTGTGTGTGCAGTAAAACCCAACAAAAGGTCACATATAAGGACAGATATCCACACAAACAGCTCCACGGAAAGGAAAACACAAGTACAAAGCTCCATCTAAGCCGTCTGACAGTCTTATTTCAACAGTTCAGAAATGTGTGTGACGTTAACATTAAAGCAAGATAATAAACAATCATCAACATTTGCTCATTTGTGACCTCACCATCCTGAGACTTGCAGAAATCCTACAGGAGTCTTCGCGGATTCATGTCTAACTGAAGGGCGCGTCTCAGCAGTGCTCCGGCTGGTGCACAGGTGTGGACCAATCACAGGCGCGCGCATGCGAAAGGGGCGGGGCCAAGATATGCGCGTGTCCGTATAATCTTCGCACCTGTTAGGTAAACCTAGTCAGATGTAGCCTCCCGATCCCTGAAGCTCTGCGTTGGCTGTGGAAATTCAGAATTCATCCAAAACAAGCGAATATGGCTGGCTATGATTGGCAATGCATATTCGGTGGTGTACTAAAAAAATAGGTAAATAATAAACTGGTCAGGTGTGCAGGGAGGATGACGTCATCCTTTCCACTACAGTCGGTCCTCCTGAGATGCTTTAAAGTACGCTTTGACCATTAACAGTTAGTCATCTGGTATCCTCCTGTGGTCCTCCAGACACACAATAGCATTAGCCTACAAGACTTCATCTTGCTTTTAACGTAACATGTTGTTTAGCTTTCCAAAAACAGTTATGCTTTGTGTTGCAGACAACAAATTATGTATATTCTGTCATCAAATTATTATAATAAATTATCATATTGTTATGTTATGAAATCTCAAACACTAAATGTAAGCGCAAATAATTTAACCGTTTGTTATTGTTGCGTTTTTTAGCATAAGCTATCGGCTACTTTGAAATAGGCTAGTCATTCACAGCTCACTCAGAGACTATTTTAAATGTATCATACATCTTGTGCTGTCTTTTTTTGCCTTATTATACGCCTCTTATTACAATATTTATGGCTAGTAAAGCATAGTGTTAAAATATTGTTTGCACCTATTTCATAGCGTAAATTCGCGGTCATTTGTACGTTCGAAACTTCCGGTGACAATTGCGTCCAGTAGCCTGCAATGATAAATTCGTGTGGTTCGAAAGACCCACCCCCAACTAAGAAAGTCCAAAATTTGGCCCCTATTTGAGCTCATTTGTCCCATTTTTGACAATATGCCATCATAAATTGTGAAAATAAAGGATAAAAGAAGACTTTAAGATAAATATACTTTTTAATGATTATTAAAATGAACAAATTATTCTGACTGGAAATGAGCTGGCTAGTTTGTTATTTGCTTTTAGGCTACAGTTTTTAGTTTAAAACAAGTTTTAACAGATCCCTATGTTTTCTAAATGATGGATGAAAATAAATTAGCATTTTAAATTTCATATTTCTTTGTTTAAACATTTTCATTTAAAATTGTAATCGCATTTATAAAACTGTAATAACGTAATGCACATTTGTAAATAAACATTTTTTGTAAACGTAAAATAGTACGGTAAGCATTTGAGAAAAAAATGTAGCAAGTACTTTTTTTTTGCATCAAACAGTGTGGTAATGATAACCATCCGGCAGGATCTGAACCTTATAATTAAGTAGTAAAAAATGAGCCTAATGACTGCAAAAATGTCCACTTTTTGAGAAAAAAGAAGAACCACTCATTTTAATAGGCCAGCTATACGGGCATGTGATTGGCTATATAATAGTTATTTCTGTGTTTATCTATTATTAAACAGTATGTTAATATACTGCACATTTTAAGTAACAGTTTGTTTCTGCTTGTTTTGACCAAAACGTTCATTTATGTTCATCAACAAATCTAAATCATTGATTAAAAAAGGTGATATGCTCCTGAGTTTCAGTAGTAGGCCTTTATATAATAGAGTGCATTAATTTACATAAAGAATAAATAAATCAGTAATTTTGATCGCCACTGAACACCAGATGGTTAAATAGACGAGATTATACACACACAAACTTTCCTACTTGGCATGTGAAAGTCTGAGATGTGTTATATCGTTTATTACCGGTAGAGGGCAGGCACCGAGGAGCTCCGGTGGCGTGGCTCTGCCGCTCTGCGTGGACTCATGTGACCCCGGTGCCCGTTAAAAGTACCGTCGAGGGGCCACGAGCTCAGCGGGCGACCGGAGCGGCAGCGCGGGGGAGAATCATGTCTCTGTACCGGAACTCAGCATGGTTCCTCAAAGGACTCACCGAATTCACCAAGTAAGAGCTGCACTTATTCACAAATCACCTTATAACAACACTAACAAATATTATTACACTTTATTAATGCACATTCAGGTGTTTATGTGTCTGATCAAATGCTTTTATGCAGTATACAACTTTTTAAATGGTGTTAATTATTCTGTCTATCTTGTCACACCAAGTTTTTTAATATGATATATAATATAATGTAATATATATTCATTCTTTCATTTTCTTTTTGGCTCAGTCCCTTTATTAATCTGGGGTCGCCACAGTGGAATGAACCGCAATAATAAAAAATAATATAATATAATATAATATAATATAATATAACATAATATAACATAATATAATATAACATAATATAATATAGCATAATATAACATAATATAATATAACATAATATAATATAACATAATATAATATATGTAAATTTTATTATAAATTCTGTAGTTTGTGTGGGATTATTGTGTGTAATTGGGCTGAAAAACAAATCAAATCTAAGGTCAGAACTGTTTTTAATTCATCTAAATATTTTTTATATATTTATAAAATTTGTCTGAAGGCCTGTAGTTTAGAAAACCTAATGTTTGTAACCCAAACTGGGTAAAAATGGACAAATCCAAAGTTGGGTCAAACTTATTTTTCAACTAAATTGTGATTACTTTTTTTTTTATCCCAGTTGTCTTTGTCCATTTTTTACCCAAAAACATTGCAACAACCCAGATTTTTGTTGTTGTTGTTGAGTGAATTAAGTAAATGGTTTAATAGGCTCTCTGTCGCAAGAATTATTAAATATTATTAAATTTATTTTGGCTTTAAAACAAAAGCATATTAATTATTTGTCATCAAAACTATACATTAAAATGCTGCATATTTAAATTACAGTGGCAGTAAATTCAGGGTGTCTGCAAGGTCTTAAAAAGTATTAAAAGTTGATAAATCAAGATAAATTTAAGGCCCTTAAAAAGTATTCCAATAAAAAATCTCCAATGCTATTTTGCAAGGTATTTCATTTTATTTCATTTTTGATAATGCAACGTATGGTTTGTGCTAAAGTTTGCCTGAATTAAATCTGTGAATATCAGGATGCTGTGAAATCAATGAAATCCTACTAGATTTGGCATCATGCTACTTTATTTAGGCAAAACCATTATTCCTGTAGTTCTATAGACACCAACCTGCTGAATTAGCTAGATTTTATAGTTTTTTATTCAGTGTATGAATAATGTTTTAGTTTTGGATTAGTTTCTTACATTAATATATAGTAAATATGCTGTAGGTTAAAATCTCACCAGTGTTTTCAGTTGGAACCTAATGTGGTTTTAAGTTCCTAAAATGTTGGAAAGAGTCTTAAAAAGGTATTAAACTTCACTCTCTAATTGCTGTACATACTCTGAAATTATAGTAAGAGTCAAAGATGCACTGTAAACAATTAAGCGTTATTTTACAGGCAATTGTCTGTAGTTTTTTTTTTTTACAGAATCTTCCAGTTTGTGGAAACCTGTTGTTTTACAGATATGTTCTGTATTTAAAAAATAATTTATTGTTTACATTGTTTACCTGTAAACAATAAATTTACAGTTATTGCTTGTAATGTGGTATTACGTTATTTTTCTGGTTTTTAAAGGAAATTGTATGCATTTTCAGAGAGTAACATGTAATTTTATGTTAATATTTACAGATTATTCCTGTAAAAATAGGGGGGGAAAAATTCAGTCAAATTGTTTTTAGTGAAGATAGTATGAAGATTAACAAAGTCAAATAACAGCCTATTGTTTGTAGGCTGCATATAATGCACTGTAAATATGAAAGGTTTATTTTACTATTCTAACAATGTTGCTATGCGAACTGTGACAGCTACAAAACTACACGAGCTACTTTAACAAACTACAACTCCCAGCATGCACCTCGCACACCCCGGTTCCTAATTCCAACTGATTACACACACAATCAGAAGATTATGGACTGATTTCAAGGACTTTAAACTCAGCACACACAGTCACACCGTTTCTGAGTCTTAAACTGTTTAGTGAGCATTACGACGCGGTTTCCCTTAACTTTGCCATGTTTGACTCCTTTACTTTGTTATTTTGTTTGCCGCCTTTACGTTTGGGCTTATCTGTGCACCTGTTTTGTTCTGTTTTAACCTTTAATTGAGAGATGATTCTGTTAATAAGCTGCTATTGAATCCTCAACTTTGTTGTGCAGGCGTCCTCACATGACACTAACCTTGTTTTTGTTGTTAAACGATGAGCAAGTGTGTTATTTGTACAAAAAAAAAATACAAAATTAGATTGATAACAGTTTTGTATTTTCTCAAGAAAATTATTTTGGAGTTTAACCTGCACATCCTTAAAATATTAATTAAACTATATCAGTTTATAATTATATTTACAGTGTTTTATGACAACAGCAATTATTTGTACTCAAGCTTTTTTTCAATTATTCTTTAAAAGCTTTTTTCTTTTCCAGTTTTAAAGGTGTGTTAAAAGTGGGAAATTTTTATAGAATATTTAGAGATTTCATGCATAATTGCATAAATGAATCTCTATAATTGCATTAATTACCTGCATAATTAATTATCCTTATAATCACATGAATTAATCTGTATAATTACAGTAATAACCTGAATGATTGCAGTAATAACAATCACAATTAATATCTGTATAATTACATTAATAAACTATACACTTTCCCAGAGATGGGTTGTGGCTGGAAGGGCATCCGCTGCGTAAAAACGTGCTGGATAAGTTGGTGGTTCATTCCGCTGTGGCAACCTCGGATTAATAAAGGGACTACGCCGACAAGAAAATGGATGAATTATATATTCACAGTAATAATCTGTAAAATGACAGTAATAATCCGTGTAATTGCAGTAGTAATTAGTAAAACGGCAGTAATAACCTGTACAATTACAGTTAAAATCTGTAAAGTGACAGTAATAACTTGTTAATATGGAAGAAATTACTGTTTTGTTTTGTTTTTTTACAAATTATCAATATTTTTTATTCTGAGTTTTTTTACAATAATTTTCTGCCGCCCCTGCAGCCAGAAAATTGATTTTTTTTCTGCAGGTTTTTTTTTTAACAGTGTGATTGCCAGTGATGCAAAAATAGTACAAAAGTTACTTCTGAATGTGTCTAATAGCTCCAGATTATGAAATAAAAATCTAAAAATGATTGAGGCCTCAAAAATATTAAGTTAAATCAATGTAACTTTACTAGTAAAAACTGATTTCAAGTATGTAGCTTCAAAGCTAAAGTTGAAACCTGATTAACCACTTTTTTTATTAAAACAAGTTATAGTGGCGTTAAAAAATGTATGTTGTCATGTAATCATCCTTTAGTTACAGTTTAGTACACACTTACACTGTAAAGCCTTATTTTAACACATTCTGTGCGCTTAGCCCAAAACACTAATGCTTTTCATTTTCCACGAAATCCAATATGATGTGCAGTGATCTCAGTGGGCTGTGCATCTCCTAACGCATTGTCACCCGGCTCGACCTCTCACATCCCATAATGGGACACACACATCAGCCTTAACAGTGCAGGCATTTAGCGAGAAAAGCTTGTTTTTCCCCCCGTCACCTCCTCGCTCCTCTTCATCCCTCCGCCTGGCCTGGCACGCCTGGACAAAGCCAGCCTTTGAGAGCGGCTTGAGGGCACGAGCGCTGCTGATACCAGGAGCGGTCTATCAGAGGACGCACTGATACACACTCACTGATGCACACACGCACATTATCTAAGCGGTGACGCAAGGCCACTCATTAGGACAGACCTTCATTACTGCTATCAGGATATTATTAAGTTGAGCTTACATTTTTTATCATACAGAAATCAGCACAAAAGCATCGAAAAAGTGCATAGGGCACCCTTAGGATTATGGGAAGGTTATCTTAAAATTACACTTACAAAAAAGGAACATGGTTTTATTAGCAAACAAGTATGCTGGTTTATTTTTTAAAATTGAGTTTATTACCCAATTTTAAACCAACGGTTGGGTTTGTCTACTCTAAAAAAAATGCAGGGTTGCAAATAATTAATTAATTTATTTATTTATCGATTAAGTTAACACATTTAAGGTGATTGAATGTAAAACCATTAGTAATAATAGTCCCTAAAAAATCTCAAAAAATTTTCAGCGCATTACTGTAGTTTCAGAAAAAGTACTGTACTTTGAACAAGCATAAAAATAATTTTAAGTGCATTTTACCTAAATTTGGGTTAAAACAACCCAGCATTTTTTTATTGTTGGAATTCAAGGAAGGTCCGGATAAACTGGCGGCAAATATACAGTTGAAGTCAAAATTATTAGCCCCCCTGAATTATTTTTTTCCCCAATTTCTGTTTGACGGAGAGAATATTTCTCCAACACATTTCTATACATAATAGTCTTAATAACTCATTTCTAATAACTGATTTTATAGGGTAATTAGGTTAACTAGGCAGGTAAGGGGATTAAGACAAGTTATTGTATAACGATGGTTTGTTCTGTAGATTATCGGACAAAATTTAGCTTAAAGGGGCTAAAAACTTTGTCCTTAAAATGGTATTTAAAAAATTAAAAACTGCTTTTATTTCAGCCGAAATAAAACAAATAAGACTTTCTCCAGAAGAAAAAATATTATCAGACATACTGTGAAAATTTCCTTGCTTTGATAAACATCATTTGGGAAATATTTAAAAAATCTATGTAGTTTTGTGTAGTAGAAGAAGCCACTGTGGTCTTTTTTCTTCTCTAATAAATGGGCTGTGCCTCAGTAGACAAAATACAATGAATTCAATGTGACTTTAGCATGCATGAGACATTATTTGAGGGATGAGAGATGCTCAAGACAGCTTTGGAGGTAATAAAAATCTAATAATCTAATCTAATAATCAAATAATAATAATACTGAAGCACTGTCGCCTCACAGCAAGAATGTCATTGGTTCGAGCCTCGGCTGGGCTAGAGTGCATTTCTGTATGGAGTTTGCATGTTCTCCACCGTGTTGGCGTGGGTTTCAGGCCCGTGGCCAGCCTGGTCAAAGGGGCGGTTCTTTTTTCTCAAAAAGTCGACCTTATTGGAGTTACACACGTCATTTTATATTTAATTATGAGACTTAAACACATTTAAGCACTATTTTTATCTGGATTAGCTTGTCGGATGGTCATCATAAACACACTTTTTTATGTACCAAAAAATTTCCTAAAGATTTATAATAAAGAAATATTTATTTTTAAAATACAAATTTATTACATCATATTAAAAAATAACCCATTTTAAATAAAATAAAGCCTATTGTCAATTATTAAGCAAATTATAAATAACAAACTGGCCAGCACATTCAGCTTTACTCAGTCAGAATTTCACCATTTAAAATAAAATTTATTATTAATTACATTTGAAAATTCATGCAAAACAACAATAGCCAAAATAATATTCAAATTAATTTACATATGATCCGCTTTTGGTGCTTCACACCTTTTTATTGGTTATTTTTTAGTTTCATGAATAAGGTCCAAGATTTAGAAAATAAAGTTACTTGTAAACTGTTTTCTCTATTTTAAAAACAATATAGTAGTAAAAGATGACGTCACTTACATCATATTGTGTGTTTTCTTGCACAGCTGGATGTTGGAATAATTGTTTGCATTGGTCAAAACTGGTTAGCTGAAGTCATGACAAGCCAACACAGAATTCGGCTTGGTCTCAAAGCCTTTTCGATGGGTTATTTCCCCTTATTGCAATGACATAGCAGGCAAAATAGGACAAATGGGCTCATGTATGAGACAAATTCTGCACCTTTGTCAGTGAGGGGTCTTTTGAACCACCCGAACCCCCCTGGCTATGGGCCTGTGTTTCCTCCGGGTGCTCCGATAGTTTCCCCTACAGTCCAAACACATGCGCTATAGATAAATTGAAGGAACTAAATTGGCCGTAGTTTATGGGTCTGAATGAGTGTGTATGGATGTTATCCAGTACTGGCTTGCAGCTAGAAGAGCATCCACTGTGTAAAAAAGATGCTGGATAAGTTGTCGGTTCATTCCGCTGTGGCGACCACTGATGAATAAAGGGAGTAAGCTGAAGAAAAATGAATGAATTAATATTTTTTATGTGCGTTTTCTAATTTTATGCACATCCTGGTGTTTCCATTAAGCATTTATGTGATATATTTATGCATAGAAAAAGGTGGATGGAAACACTCCCCTCTCACCCGTTCCAAAACAAAAGATCATATGTTGAATTAAGCTGGTTGCTGTCACCCATTGACTTCCATAGTATTTGTTTACCTACATTGGAAGTCATTGAGCAACAAGCATACTTCAAACTAGAGGAAAGAAATGAGAATAAATGGGGTAATTTTCATTTTTGGGTGAACTATCCCTTTAATGTTCACATAACTAAGAAAGAAACCTTTTAAAAACTGTCTTTAAAACATGTATAGCTGTGTGCTTCCATTTCCCTGTTCTCCAGCATCAAAAGTGTGAAGATAAATACTTTACAATATGCAAGAAGCAAGCTTATTAGTTAACAGAACTAATCCAGCAGTGTTTCTGAGAAGCAAGTGTGCTGTGACCCTGTGACATTTCCAGACTAATTACCCGTGTGTCTCAGGGGGGCGTTTCTGTCGGCGTCTAAAAACTTTGTAGAGAAAGACCTGGAGACGTCGATGGCGGGCCGATCCTTCATGATCACCGGAGCCAACAGCGGCATTGGGAAAGCAGCCGCCATGGCCATCGCCAAGAAAGGTGTGTGTTAACCCTTTTATGGGGCAAAGAACCATTTATAGTAACTTCACTGTTTAAAATGCTGTATGCGACTCTGGAGCACAAATTCTGTAGCCAAATACACATTGTTTGGGTCAAAGTTATAGATTTATTTTAATGGCAAAAATCATTAGAATATTAAGACCACGTTCCATGAAGACATTTTCTACTGTAAATATATCAAATGTACTTTTTAATTAGTAATATGCATTGCTAAGAGCTTAATGTGGACAAATTTGAAGGTGATTTTCTCAATATTTTTATTATTTTGAGCTTTCAGAATACAGATTTTCAAAGAGGCCAAACACTGTGCTATATTATAACAATCCATTCATCAGCGGGGAGCTTATTTATTTAACTTTCATGTGATTTATTAATCTCAATTTCCTAAAATTTGCACTCATGACTGATATTGTGGTCCAGGGTTAAATATGCACTACCATGCCTATAAGTTTTAGGAACAATAAATAATAAGTTGACTTCTAGTTGATCATTTGGGATCAGAAGTGGCTTATATGAAAAGCAAAGGCCTCTAGATTACGCTTATTTGACCAAAATAAAATATAATCATGCTTTGATTTTTTTTTATAATTTAAGGAGGACAGTAAGCTCCGGAGAAAAGAATTAATATTGTGTCTGACTCCCAGGAGCTTGGAGATCCATACATCTCTGCAGTGACTCAAATAACTTCTTAATAAAGTCATCTGGAATGGCAATACGTCTTTCCTCAGAAGAAAAAATATCAGACATATTGTGAAATTTTCCTTGCTCTGTTAAACATCATCTGGGAAATATTTTTAAAAAGAAGAAAAAAAAAATCAGAGGGGGCTAATAATTCTGACTTCAACTATATATATATATATACATATATATATATATATATATATATAATGAATTATTTATTTAATATTTAATATTATTTATTTAATATTTAAATATATATATAT